ATGCCTCGTCCATTGCGTTCCTCACGGCGGTCATCCTTCGTGAGTCAAATTCAAAGCTTTGAAGCAAAAAGACTGGAAGCGAGTGGACACAATGCTGAACCCATGATCAAAAACTGGACAGTCCTCTTTCCGGGTCTTACTGAGGTTGCGCGACCTTAGTGAAACAGCTGCTCACATTTCCACTGGTTGCGGTCCACAAAGTGCTATGAACACGTATGCTTCTGGTTTGCTTTCTGGTTCAGCTCACTGGGATAACGACTGCCGCTTCATCGACCGCGTACTTGATATCAAATAATACTAGTATGCTAAACCTTGCTAGACCAACCCACATGTCTGGATTCAAACGAGAAAATATCTGCCATCTGCATTCTGAATTTTCATGTCTGAATTCATGAATCTTCATCAAACCCTTGATAGTGCAGATGTGCCCACTTCTGCAACATGCATGCCGCTCCAACAAGCTACCTTTTGAACTACTGTTTTACCGCGCTGTCGGACATTGGTGTCGGACACTATGGGGAACCATGAAAGTGTCTATAGTTGCGGGAAGGGTACTCCCCAGGGCTTAACTCTTGCTAGTGCCGTGCTAGCGCGTTGCTAGCTCAAAATATCCGTTGGATTTCATGATGTCTGTAGTTACGCCGTGAGTTATTCTTTGCATCTCTCATTCTCAAGTCCCAAATGCGAGACCGTGCGGAACAATATATCATTGAACAAACTTGAGGAGCGCTAAAATATCTAACACGTATGTATGTATGGCCACACCGATCTCGTGCTTGTGTGCATAGTAGGCTGTTGAAACAGCTCAGAAGACTAGAATATGAAGCCAGTTGTGCAAGCACTGCTGAACACAAACTTTCAGAACCAAAACAAACGAACTTCTTGAACTTGGCAAGAGACACTGTGCACCATACTCATCATACTCTGAGTTTCTGAGGATCACACGCCACATCAAGAAGCTCCGCCAAAAGGGCAACCACCTCAAAGTGGGCCAACTGCCATTTCAAGACTTCTGGAGAAGGAACTGGATTTGGCATGACCCCTATCGGCAAGCAGCTGAACCTTGTCAAAGGTTGCACAGCCTGCTGACTGCAGTGAGGCCCATCACATCCGTTCAATCTTAACAGTGCAGCCCCTGCCCTTCCCAAATGATGCCTACCACCTGCCTGCACAATAATATGGATGCAACTATATGTACAAAACTACCCAGAGATACTTGCTCGCTTCAAACAAGCAAGTGCCTTTTACATAACATTGCCTTCAGGCAGCCTGACCAACTCGTCGCCCAGTCATGCATGATTCAATGCTAGCAAAGCTACTAAGACTACCTTAGCCTTCAAAACAGGTGAAGAAGTAAATAGGAATAAACCCATCCACACAGTCACAAAACGATACAGTCTTAATCAGGTGACCTCCGCTACGATTCCAAATCCCAACAACCAATCAAAACTAACCTATGAGGACTCTTTGGCTCAGAGTATTGAAAAAATAATGTGGAAGGTAATCATCAAAGAGCCTGCACTCACCCATACCCTTGCATCGAGAAGCATCAGCCCCACTCTTGCGAGCCGCTTTGCCTAATTACAAAGTGATGCAATTGAATTGTCTGAAATGAGCAGGCGAACAAATGTGAACAGGATTGCTTCTTGCGAACATGAAAACAAGAAGCTATTAGGGGCTCCTGGCCTTACTACTAGGAGCGAGAACGCTACTAGGGGCTCCTGGCATCGCTACTAGGAGCAAGGACGCTATGAGTTCTGTCCACATCGATCCTGTCGCTCGGAACACTGAATGCGCCTTGCTCGGGCAGTTGGGCAGTCAGCTGGGTGTGACCTTCCCACGTGCAGATCTAGTTCGCTTCAAAACAATCGTTTAAACACGTCAATCCAATAGAATGTTCCATTCTCACGTCTGGTAGCAAGTCTGGGCAAAGACCAGTGCTGCACCAAACGAGTGAAACACCCCAGGTCATCGTTAGCACATGTTAGCACAAACTCTTCTAGCTGATCTGGTCAATCTGGCCAGCACAACTGTTCAACAGACCCGCGTTTCACACCTTTCTCGCTTATCAAAGCCAACCTTCAAAGCGTTCTGAATGATTTCGCACCAGCTCTAAGACCTGCGTGTTTGTGGAGGGATTCCTCACTTTGGGTCTCACAAAAAGCTCGACGTGGATCGAGACATTCTCCCAGTTTCGACAGCAAGGATGTCAGGGTGTTGCATTCGTGTGGAAGGGATTGGCATACGTTGTTGGGAATCTTGTGAATGCATGCGCTGCTGCTTTCTGTGATGGCTGCGCGGAGTGGGCATGCAGAATAAATTCTTGAAGGCAAGGTATGGCCTGTTTCCTTGCAAGAAATCCTGCTCCAATGTCTGGACGCAGGCATATTGCTATGTATTTGTAAGACTGACTTACTGTGCAAAAATGGGCAAACCTCCTGGAGCTCCTCGCGCTGGCTCTTGGCAACCTCGGAGTTCGCACACGCTGCCGTGTAGTAACTACGGTATCTTCGAGTTGTCATAGACTGTTCAGCAACCTGTCATTTTCATCTACTATATGAGTATATATATATATATATATTTGTTTCAGCCTGGAACACCTTCAGGTTTCAGGCATTTGCGATAAATAAAAATATATATATATATCATTCTCCTTGCTGCAGGAATTGTAAAACAAACTAAATTATTAAATTGCTTTCAGTGGGTATCAAACGCTTGTGGGTGGCGCTTATGCCTAAAGCATCCTAAAGCATAGTCAACAGCTCGCCAGGTGTAGGACTTTCACAAGTGTCTGCAAGGGTGCGTCCTTGGCGAAGAAACTGCACACACCTTTCAAGTGCGAGTTGTTACTATATAGTTGTCATTTGAGCGACTCTCTTACCCTTCCTTGTACCTGCGTTTCACAATCAGTGTTTTAGCGCTTAGGCAAAAACGGAAGAAACATGTGCCATTGGAGGTCGCTGCGTGCTTTTCATTATTGTAGGGAACAGAAAAACAGCAGCGCTCAAAATGGAAACCTCTGAGACGGAGTCACTCTCATCATCCTCCCGATCAGGAAAGTGAGCTTTCAAGCAGTCCTGCACAGTTTCAACCAAAAGCAAAGAGATGACATGCCATGTACCACTGGCTACGCACCAAGAAACTTGAACATTAAATGCATGTTCCAAGAAGTCATAATTGTCCATCGAACAATTGCACAGCAAAATTGATAAACCAACAGATTCCGATTCCTCTGCAGTGAAGTCGCAACTAGCCACCGTGCGTTGATTCAAATTGCGGCCTGAGGCCCGTTGCTACTCGGGTGCCATGTAGGTTTTTTGAGCACTGCAAATGATGAATGCGAACGCTCAAAAGCATCATCAAACCCCAAATTGAAGGAGTGCAAATCAGTCAAAGGATCCCTCCAAAGTTGGAACATGTTAATATCAATGTCTAATTGGTGGCAAAGTCCAAAGTGCATCCCAGCATTTTTGCTCAATCACTTTACATTACTTTACATTGCGAAGTTCAACTAACTCAGCTTGTCAACTTGACAACGCTTTCAACTTCGACATACTGCTTCACCAAGAGGTCAACCCGCAATCTTCTCTTCGCAGGTTGCCTGCAGTGTACGGTCGCTGTTCAAATTGTGGCGAACGTGCGGACGTGTGAAGAACAAACACATAGAGACATAGAGTGGTGCTCAAGCTGCCAATTGTTAGGTTGGAAAAGCAGGAATTGAATCATACATACATGCCAAGAGCTATACAACTTATCTCTACTCTGTACATTCTGGGCCGGCAGCTCTATATGCAAAAATTAATCTCACCGCTGGGCAGCGCCTCTTCTCGCCGTCTCCACAGAGTTACTGCTTCCTGCTGTGTTACCGTCTCCATTCACGCTATCAATACCAAGGCTGTGGCGTCTTCGGCTGGAGTGTATTGAACGCTTTAGATTCTACTACGGTGTTTCCTCGGTTGGTTTAGATTCCAATTCCGCCAACACTTCAGGAATCATCATCTCTCCATTCTTCTGGAATGGTAAGCCTCATGCAAGAGCAGTCCTCAAAGTTTCGCAGTGCGTCACTAAAACCATTTTCCCAGTCAGGACCTGTCATGGCATCCCCAGCTTGCCAACGAACATCAAGTGCTGAACAGTTGTTCCAATGGCGTTCATTTTGCAGAATTCAACCAAACTGGCTGCCAAAAACTCTGTCCACTCTCAAAACTGGCTGAAGCATGCTGAAGCCAATTCCTCACAGCTGATTTCGATCTGCAGCGGACCCTCTGTTGGGACGTGACCATCGTCGTCACTTGGCATGGCTGGGACTTAGGTGTAGGTGTGGATGTGCCGCTTGGAAAAACCCTGCCAAGTGGTTTAATATAGATCGGGGCATTCAAGCAGTCACCCTCATGTTTCCAGTTTGCACGACATTGTCTCGATTGTCTCTCTATCAATCTACAAGTCTTTTCATGCTGCAGCCCAAGATCATGTTCCATGAATGTTCCTGTCCCTGTGCCTGTGCATCTATACTGCTGCAGCTGATGCCACCGCAAAGGATATTCAGTAGTTCCCAAAGCCAAACGAACAAAGAACATCCCCTTCGAAATCCAGAAATGGAGAATCCAGAAATGGAGAATCGAGGAATCGAGAAAGCCAGAACTCCCCTTCCCAAACCGACACGAGGTTCATTAGGTGAGGGAAAGCTAACCACCTGCGCAGTCACAACCTTCTTACGACTAGCCAAAATATCTCAAAAAATCACTGCAAGTTGTCTTGGAAGATGTCTCCAGGCAAAGCTATCAACGTAGCCATCATTGCAAGGTCCCTTTCTCCAGCCGGCGCTCTCTGTTGCACTACCTTTGATGCAGGAGACCTCCAGCAGTTTAAGTTTCCGAGCAGTGGATGATCAAGAGTTTCGAGCATTGCGGATCTTTAGGGCTATGGAGCACTGCTTATTCCAATTCTATTCTCAAATAATGCTTAATCCAGAAAATATACCAAATCAATCAAGAAACAATGGCGGGCTGCTACAAAAATTCAATTGGGACTTAGCTCGTCATGCGGTTTGTCCCAAATCAACTGCCGATTGATTCTTTGGCGCAATCACCACGACTCAGGATCTTCCACGCCAAATTCATGTTTGCTTCACAGAAATGCACTTCCGGAGCCTGAGCCCAGGATCTTCAAGCCAAGGGCAGTACCAACATGTTACATGTGAGTGTGGCGACAACATGCCAGTTTGCGTGTTTGCCAGGTTATACACGGAGGAGCAATGACTCGTTTGCTGTCTCGTACTATGATACGTGTCACTCAGGTCTGAAAGTTTCCCGTGGTGCCAAGTCGCCATCTTGCACTGCTCTGTGGACATCTTCCAAAATGCGGGGGTTGGCATCATAAATTGCGTTCATTTGCTTCAGATTCTGTTCCTCACAAGTGCCATCAAATGCGCCAGCAAAACTTGTAACCCTGTGAAGTGCAAGTGGGGCGTAATCTCACGCGGCGCGGACACGTGGGCATCCTCAGAATGTCACAACATTGGACAGGGGTACAAGCAACATCAAGCAAGTTTGCGTGGCAGGTCTCCATAGTCGCGCGCAACTCTTGCTGCTCGCCGACCGGCTTCTGCTTGCTCTGAATCAAAGCCTCGATCTCGTCTGCTCGGTCATCTATAGCTCTACGACAAAAATGTCAATCCTCATATTCAATCGCATCCATGTCTGGTGTACCACAATCCAAATGGGCTGGTTATGCTATGCACTTTTCTTGCCTCTGAGCGCTTTCATTAGTTGGGCAAAGGCTGCGGCCGTATTTATGGTCTTCTCCCACTCCTGGCGAACACGGCAACGGCTGCTCTTGCTGTGAAACTGCAATCTGTCAAGCAAGAGAAGCTTCTCATGGTGAAAGCAATCAAGTAAACGCAAATGAAAACAAACATGAAAGCAAACTCTGGGTACCACACACCTGCATCGCAAGATGGCAGCAAACATCCTTCGACATGATCTGTCCGAGGTGCATTTTTCACTCCGGGCATCTTCTCCATCATGTCCCGAACAACTGGATGCAGGCGCTTAAACAGATTCCTTGGGGCAAAAGGTCTCACAGAACTCAAGTGTGAAAGAATAGGGAAAAAATAAACAAATATGCACGCGTCATGCGAACTCCATAAGTAAGTAATTGGGTACAGCGAGCTGTTCTGCTTTTCTGGGACTTTCCATCGTTCAAGGAGATAGAAAGAAACAGCGCTGCCCTGAGGTCCTACATAGTGAGAAGAGCATGCGGAGATTCCTTCCGCAGGTGCTGTTTCTATCACTGTCACCCAAAGTAAGGGCAACAGCAGTCAAAATGTGTCAAAATGTATCGTAATTGAAGTGGGAACTACTTTGCAACCGAATTGCTCTGTTGTAACATCATCCCATGGACCCTTTGCACCTGGCAGAGGCAAGAAAAGCAGATCATGCAGCGCACTAAAACTGTAGCCTTCTTTGAAAGAACTCATCTATCAAAAAGGGTAGTGCTTTTGCCAGCGCGGTATTCCCACAGTTTGTTTAACCTGTTTTGGAAGAACAACTTGTGAAAGGTGTTTTCATAAATGCTGCATTCCATGCTTGGAATCATTTGGAATCAGCATCTCGAAGGGCCTTTGGCAGAATCATCCAGAAAGGCCGACTGCCGTAGTCGTGGCCCAGATCCTCGCCAAGGAACTGTCTTGTCTCCAAGTTTGACATTTCAATTTGGGTTGTAATTGCTTCAGGAACAACCCGGACACCGTCTATACTGGCCATCTGACCGAACAATTCCAACCCAGTTTACAGGCACTGTGCTTGCAAAGCAGGCATGGCAACGCTGCTTGTACCTGGTTGCGTTTGGATGTCCTTTTTGGACTGCCAGGTGACATTGCACCTACCCACATACAGCACAAACACCAGTCCTGTTACTCGAAATTTGCATCATACAAATTACATATGTTTTGCCGTGGTAGAGGACTTTACATAAATGAATGGATGGTAAAGAAAAAAAATATTTGGTCCCATTCAACAAGGCCCCTCAAAGGAGACCTTATTAACGGGTCCAAACACAATATATATATATATGGGTGTTGATCTAAAATCCTTTATCCGGGATCCGTCATCTTAGTCAAAAAAAAGAATATTTTAGCCAAGCGTTCGCCTTCCTGCGTTTTTATCTTTCGCCGAAGTATGTTGTATTTATGTGTGCCATGTATGTTGTATGATGGATATCAAGTTTGTTCACGTCAATGGCTTCTTCTTTACTGGCAAATACAAAATAAAAACTTCACTGCTTGTCAGCATGTGTCTTCTACTTAACTGTCGACGCCCTGTACGTCTCTTTTGTTTCTCCTGGGTGTCAGCAAGAATCAAAATTGCAAGAATCACTGTAGTAGCCGGTCACTCAGACTTACTCATAATGGGCTGGGCGTCAGATGTGGCAGGGTGAACTTTCGCCAATCTTGAGCTGAGCTTTCGCCAAACTTTCGCCTTTGCGGGGTAGAGTTTTGTGGCAAAGCCACCCCCCCAAAGCAGGAGCAGGAGCAGGAGCAGGCGCAGGAGCAGGAGTAGTAGTAGTAGTAGTAGTAGTAGTAGTAGTGCTAGTGCTAGTGCTAGTGGTAGTAGTAGTAGTAGTAGTAGCTGCAGCAGCAGCAGGAATAGTAGTAGTAGTAGTAGTAGCAGCAGCAGGAGTGTATAGGAGTAGTAGCAGCAGCAGGAGTGTAGTAGTAGTAGTCGTAGTCGTAGTCGTAGTAGTAGTCGTAGTAGTAGTAGTAGTAGCAGCAGAAAGAACATCTTTCGCAAAAAAAAACTTTCGCCAACTCGAGAAAAAACTTTCGCCAAATGAGATTTTGATATGTTCCGGGTCATCGTCATCAACAATCCTGTCTAGGACCTTTAGATCGACAACCATATATAATATATATATAATATACATAAATCAATATCATTATTTGTGATTTTTTTTTCTCTCTCTCTCTCTCTCGCTAATGGACATCGGTTGATCGCATCTCGCTTCATTTGCCAACAGTGCAACTTCTTGTACTTGCCAGCCAAGATTCGGTTCTGATACAACGCCGAATGAAAATCTTGTAGAATGCTTGGATTTGAATCATAAATTGCATTCATTTGCTTCAGGTTGTCCTCCTTGGTGACTGGATTTTGCAGCACTGAACAGAAACTCGGAACAGCCAGGGACCAAGAATGCAAGCCCAGTTCATATTGCAATATGTACCTGGTTGTTGAGAAGAAAAATGACAAGGCGACACCAAATACTTTTCTTTTCATTCAAGACACCAAGGTGTCTCGCAATTCCTGCTGCTCTGAAATGCCTTTCTTCTTGCTCTCGAGCATGGCCTCGAAGCATGTCTGCAAAACAAGCTGTGCAAGCCCTAAACATCAAAGTCTCTCCAAACATGTTGTCATCATCCTTCATCCGCGTGTTTCCTTTTCCTTCCAGCTTGACCTCAAAGCTTCCTGTTCAAACCGTTCTTTCCCAGTACAGGAAACGAATGTACCACAGCGAACGTACCACATCCAACCATGTCAAATAACTTTCGGTGTTCTGTGCACAAAAGCTTTGCAACAAAAGCCGGTTGAAAAACATGTGAGGAGTTGAAACATTTTTGAATTAAACCCCCCTCCGTTCAGCGGTAGTTCTTCTGTGTCCGACGCCGAGAGAAAATCCTGCAGCACTGAGCTGTGTGCAGTGCTCATTGTCTTCTCCCACTCCTGCCACAGGTCATCGAGACATATCAAAGCTACTCAACTGTGCTATGGCTAGTCGCAACTCAGTAGGTCATGATAGTTGACGGTATGCTTGGACCATTTGTAGGCCATTGCGGCAAAAACTGCTTGCCAGCCCCTCCCCATCTCCGGCAGGCGCACCACAGCGGCGCCCACCACCCACCACTACCACCATCATCAAGCCATTCATCACCATCATGAGCAGCACCCAAAGAAGCCTTCAGAATAATACTTGAACATTCTTTGAACAATGATTGACATTTCCTGTTGGACATACCATCACACTTTGTGGGGGGGTCCCGCTTTGTACTATCAAATTTGTCAGTGCTACTATCTTGTTGGACATGATTGGCAGTTATAAATCAAAAATGATTGAAACTGTGAGGGATGACAGCTACGGTGAAAAGGTAACTTGAAGCTGTTTTCTCTGTGACGCTTGGCAACTTGCCGTCATCCAGCTTCTCTCACATCAATGTCTCAAGAGGCAAACACTGCGATTAACAAAGGAAGGGACGGGCATTTTTCTTTTTTTTTGCCTGCCCTTACTTGATTGAGTAGGTGCCTACTTAATAAAGTAAGGGCGACTAGTAAGCTACTAGAAATAGGAAGCTCCTAGCTAGGACACAGGATAGCTTACAAAACTATTTGGTTCCTAGATTTTTAGGGAAACAGGTCCCAGTAGCCGCGTTCCGATGGTGACTGGATTCGTGGAGAATATCGGTTCTTTCCTTTTTCATCTCTTTGTTCTTGCCCTCGTAGTTCCGTTTGTTCAAAATGCTTTGCCTTGCCAAAACTCTCCATCTCATGATCAATTCATACTCCCACTGTAGATCAATGTAGTTCCAACCTCGGTCCTCTATAACTATTACTCTCAATTGATGCCCTCACAAGTTCAGCCACTCCGAATGTAACCAGAATCCAAGCACCAAGCAGTAGAACAGAATATGAGTTAGTTAGATTTTGTTGCAAAGCGGTATGTCCTTCTTCATAGACGGAGTCTGGGTCATCATATCCTGGACCACCGGGTGTAACCGCTTGAAGAGATTCCTTGGTCACTTTGTATGCTGCCTTGAAGGGAACGAACTCCAAGTCCCACTGTGGCATGGCAGTATTCATATACATGTATGCAAATGCAAAATGCGGGTGGCCTTTACTGCAACAAAGTAAGATGGCCGTCTGAATGATACCGAGTGAATCCTGAATGACTGCAGCTGGGAGTCTCGGTGGTAACTCCTTCCCATGGACTCTTGGGCTTCACCACAGGTCCTGGGCGGAAGATCACAGGTCCAAGAAAAAGTGTTTTCTCCTCCAAGCCTGAAACCACCGAATTGATAAAATTCAGGTATGTCAACAGTTAGTTGGCCTAACATATTCCGGATTATGAAACACGTGACGCAGGGAAGTAGGAACAGAGATAGTCTTGGCCACAGTTTTATACGAGTTCAAGGTCAGAAAGAAAGCCTTACATTGGGTGACATCAATGCTTCAATGACATGTGATATGTTGCCTCGACATCTCCTGAACACCGCTCAAAGACCGCGGTTTTAAGTGTTAGCTCATCCGATAACCGCGAAGGAGCGCAAATTCATCATCCGTAGCAAAGATCATTCCATCACTCTGTGCATATACTTGAAGACTAGACTATACTTGTGCAAAATCCTTGTGCAGCCTGAGTTGTTGCTTGCACCAAAATTCACAAACCTCTTCAAGCTTGCATCGCCTCTGAAAGGTTCTGCGTCTGCTCGCTGCTTTAGGCTTTGCGTTAGCTGTCTCTGGTGTGCGGTGTGAAGCAAACATGATCTGCACTGCAATGTCAGCCACCCTGTGATAACGAACACGCGGCAAACTGGCAACCATTCTTTAAATTGTAAAAGTTCCTAGAGCACTTTGCTGCCAAGAATCCATCGGCTGTAAATGCTGTCATCAGCATTTGTGCAAATCCTGTCTGCACATGTCACACATCTGAGTTTTATTGAGTGGTGAAGGCAAGTGGGAAGACTTGTTGATGTAGCGTGTACACCTTTGACTATGGTGTCAAAGTACCATACCACTGCGAACTCTAGGTTTCCACTTTCGAGAACAACGCTAGGAAAGGACATGCCCCTTAGGCTGCTCGTCCAAATCCCCCGCAATTCAACAGAATCCTCCATAGCTAGTAGAAAGCCGGAAGTGCTCGGGTCCTTTCGGCATTGCAACCGAAGCTCCTCAGGAGAATGCAACTAACAGTTTATTTGTTTTTCAAAAATTGTCATTTCTGGCCACCAGCAGCCGCAGCAGTAGCGACAAATACTGACCAATCACCACTACCACTCACTACCACAAGTAACAACTCTGATCTGGGCGTTCCTTGGCTGGTATGGAGAAACGTCGGATACGATCAGTTTGCATCAGTCAAAGCACTGCAACAACTGAGGATGGGGCACGGTGAACACCCACCGCTACGAAATCAAATGGACAGCATTATCTCTCGAGCCAAAAGTCGAGCATCACACTGCTCAAAATGCTGAAATTAGCAGTCTGAAGACCTACGCTAACAAGCTCTCTTTTTCCTTTGTTTTTCCCAACCTTACTTAATCAAGTAGGCGGCTACTCAATTAAGTAAGGGCGGCTAGCCGCTACTACCTACTGGACGCAAAATAGCTCACGCTTCCATTCATTTGGTTCCTAGATTAAGATGATTAAGGTTATAGTATCAAGCCACTCTCCAGGAGTCGGAGTATCATGCAGCAAAAGGCTATAACAGGCCAAATCATGCCAAATCTGAGAAGAGCGGGCGTCCTCAATTCCTATGGATGTCATCATGGAAGATCATGGAAGTGCTTTCTCTGATAGTTCGAACGGGCCTCTATCAAATAACATGTCTTGTCAACTTCTGTCATTAGGTTGAGGCCATCGCAAGTAGGTTGGAGGCCATCGCTATTAGCGTATCCCTTTCATCGACTCCCGTTTCAATGTTTCTCTCCAACGTGTCTCAACCGCATGCTCTTCACGCAGCTGTTCCGCTCCTCCCTAAAGGAGAATCGGCATGGATTACGGCGAAAAAAGATGTTGTTCGCTGAGACCATGTTGGACTAAACACTCCAATGTTGAAACATGTGTCTATCAGGCTCCACACCAAGGCAGTACGCCTATGACTATGACAGTACATAAATGCAAAATTGAACCAATTGCACTCATTATGCGCGTCCTTGTCTGCTACATAGTGCTATATATATATACATCACATCAGTGCATGTTTCAAAACCTGATCAATACGCGGACTACATACGTACGGCAATGTTCTGGTGCCAGGCTATATCTACCCCGACTCAAAATTCACTGCTTTGAGTGCTGTTGCCTTTATGGTATTGATATCCTTTGCCGAGACTCAGCGCAGAAGGGCCTATCTTAGATAATCTTCAGGCTCCAAAGGAGCTAAAGGTGCGGCGTCACCAAAGTAGAGCTCCAAGTCCTGCATTCTTCCATGTTGCATGGTTTTGTTTACCTTGAGGGTGTGTAAAAACAATTATGCACTCACCCCTCACCCAGGCTGCTCTTTCTCGCAAATGCATTTTGACAAACTATGACCACATCTGACAAGTGGATACAAAATGATACTAATGGGACAACCTTTCGCTACCAGGAGCCGTTCTTTGCCAAGCTTGAGGTCAGAAGCCGGACCGGGCGGACAAGCCCTTGCAAGCCTTGCCAGGTACAAGTATCTAAGAGCGTTGCTTCCCTACCGAATGCCCGATGTCCCTTTTCAACCACAGTGACAGTGGCAGGTGAAGCTTTTCTTGCTGGGCCCCTTCACTGTCTTTCCTCATACTTAAGACTTAACATGACAACTGGGCCCTTTTCTTCTGGTGCTATGGGTGTGCCACCATTGGACCATTGGTATGGGGAGTTCCTTCGTTGATGTGCCCGGGCTTCCGCATTCCTCATGTCTGATCTTGGAGAACTTGGAAGGTCTCCATGGCAAGGACGGCCCGGATGGCACCATATTCAGGCCTTGCCAAATGTGTAACAGTGCAACAGACCTGTACTTGTCCAAAACCCGTACAAAACAAACCAAAAAAGGTCATGTACAGGAAATGTCGGACATGAAACATGTCTTGTCTCCGAACAAGGTGTTCCAGCGGCATCCTGCATGCTCAGTTACCAGATGTTACCAGAATTGTTGGCCTCTTCTTGCGCAAATGAGTGGCACTCCTTCAAAAAGTGAACCACGGCAGATTTCCAAGATGCCCTCGTGATCTAAACACAAAAGATTACAGTAAGCTGTTCTGGCTTTGCCCAGAATCTCTGTTCCTAATAGCTTCTTGCTCCTAGTAGTAAGGCCAGGAGCTCCTAATAGCGTCCTTGCTCCTAGTAGCGATGCCAGGAGCCCCTAGTAGCGTCCTTGCTCCTAGCTGTCATGGCAAACAGCTCTCCTGTGTGATGATGTGAAAGTTCTGGGATCACAGAGATGTCGTGCCTTCAGGCACTTCTGCAGGTTTGGTGGACAAAAAGTAGGGTAGAACCGGGTAGGCGGTGAGAGGCGTGTTGAGGACACTTGCTCCCAGGTGTCAAAAAGCAGCTTTTTTGGACAAAATGGACAAGTTGATGCAACCTGACAGGTGACCTGCCCAAACATATTTTCCAGTTCCCTCACTGCTAAATGCTATCACACGTAAATCAAAACGCACGCTGCTCATGTGGCTTCGTACCGATAATTGCCAGAACTCATGGACTATTTGATGCTACTATGATTGGTTAGGTCCGATGGATTCTTGCGGTTTCTCCCTTTTCGCAAAGCGGTATGCTGTTTGAGGGGGTTGTGCAAACCACAGGCCACTAGAAAGGCATGATCCTAAATCAAACAATGCGCCTGCCTTGGTATCTAAGATTGTGACTCACCAGAAACCAGGCCACAGGCTTGCAAGCTGCTGTAGTCCTTAGACGGAAGGTACTGGAGGTGTATGTTTGTTCGAGTATAATTCAATGGCAAAAGTCGCCAAAATGCGGACAAACAACTGGCAAGCACTGCATGCACCAAAAGAAGCGCTGGTCCTGCAGCTGCTTCGGGGGCTAGTTCTGTACTTAGTGTTGAAACATGCAGGCTTCAGTGATCTGTATCTCTACATATTCAGATCTGAAACCTCTGCCTGCAGGAAAACCACTGGGATGCAGGAGTTGGGCAATCACTGATCTCTCAGCCATGCTGGGTGACTGGGTGTAAAAAAAACTAGCAGTCAGTGTGTAAGTGTATACAGTATGTATATATATACACATACAGTAACTGTAACATAATTTCAACACAAGCATGTTCTAAACGGCGCTCCGTTTGTTGCAAGAACTGCACTCGATAAAGTGAGAAAAGTCTGTCCTCTGGTGCAGCATCGAGCTTTGCTGCCACACCTTCCTTTAGCTCCTGAACCTCAGAGCGGCCCAGTGCAACGAACCAACAAATTCGAACAGCATCCAAGTGCTTCAGAGAAGCCTTGGTGCTAAATCATTCAGAAATTTGTCCACGTCTCAGAATTGCAAATATCCTTGTTGTGCTTTCTACTAAGGCATGTGAAGGAACTCTGACCAAACAAACACAAGTATTACGTCCCTGACAGGGATGTCCTTATTGTTCAGGAAACCTGCACCGCTATTCATGTTGTTGGTCAATCCAACTGAAACTGCAAAGTGCAGTCAGTCAGGTGTGCTTGCTGAATTCGGCATCTTGTCGCATCATTCTCCGGACAAAGGAAAGCAAAGATAGACAAAGCTGCTTGAATGATAAACTGTGTGGGGCAGGGCACTCAAAAAATGTGTGCTGGAATTCTCCGTTCGCTGCAAATTGCCAAGCTGCTGTCATGGAAGGATCTAGCTGCACTTCAGCAACAGTCACCTGAGAGTCGTTAGAAGGATGGGCTATGGCCAAAGAAGTTAAACCTGACTGAATGCAACAAATATGTTTGGTCAGCAAGTTACGATTCTGTGTTTGTGTGTCCGTTCTTCAGGTTCGGGCCCCTTTTCTCCGAAGCCGCAGTCGCAACGGGGGCCTGCGGGCTGACCGATAGAGAAGAATGAGGAAACACAGCCAGACTTTAAACAGTCGATGCACTGCAAGAACACTGCTGTACCGACGTGTAAATCAGTATGCCTTACTACACAACAATGTCAAATTGCTCACTCTTGAACGAAAGTACAGTACTGGAAGTCGTCTGGGCCCACTCTCCAAAGGGTCAAAGTGCAATCATACAGAACCTGGTATCCCTACCTATCTGAGTCACGTGGCTCTGGAATCCTCAGCTGACGAAAGTTTGGCTCCGTGGTTTCCAGGTCCATATCACGAACAGTAACATTCCTTTTGTTGGCTGAAACGAAGGCTCTTGACCACTGTAACAGCACTCGCATGTTCCCACTGTTTTCACTACCTTTCTCTTGCTCACACGTCTGAGTACAACTCAGTGCTGAACGAACCCTCATGGCATTGTACTTTGCTCAGCTTCCTACAGTAGGATGTAGGATGAGTACAAATCATTCCATCTTGAACAAAGCAACAATGACAAACACACGGAATATCAAAAAGCCTTTGTTAGAGGCTCTGAGAGTATGCTGATTTCGCCAAAGTTGGCCAGAAGAAGCTCCAAGTGCTTGTCAAAACTTGTACAATAAAAGAGCTTTTGAAAGAAGCAACGGAGTCAAGAGAGGCTGCAGTTTGTAGAAGGCCAATGAATGGCGGAACAGCTCTTTGACTGCACACTCCGTTCTTTCCTTTGTTTGAACCAAGGAAGAACGTGTTTCTGATTGTATTCACGGCCAACATCATCAAGGCACAAGGGAAGCTCAGGGGAGCTGACCTCAGTATGCTCCCCACCCTGCGAGATTCGGCCAATGAGGACGTTACTAGTAACAAAGGGCATTACTACTAGGAGCAAGGATGCTACCAATAGCTCCTGGCCATACTACTAGGAGCAAGGACGCTACTAGTAAATCAAGAATCAAGAGCTAAGCAGCATTAAGCAGCTAAGCCTCAAGAGGGGTGAGTTCAATTGTCCTTCAGAGTCCTCCATGTAACAGTACTTGCAAAACGCATGAGGATAGCAACATTATATACTGTAACATATATATATAGTATACAGAACCTATATATTGTATAACCTATATATATATATATGTTTTTTTATCGTAGTATCTAGCCCATGGATGGTCCAGTCTATATGACAGTGTTTGCTTGGCAATAATTGTGCATCATGTCTGTCAACGTCAATCGCGTTCATCATGTGGATCAATATGCCAAGCAAGTGAAGAGTCTGCTGCCAAGTAAGTCTTAGTGGCAGACTGGCTCAAACGCCAGAGCAGATTCCAGCACCAATCGCTCTTCATGTGCCTTTCATTCCCAAAGATTTGGAACCCCAAAGACATCGAATAAAAGCATGTGATAGAATGATGGGTAGTAGTTGGCTCCTATGGTCAGTGCACAGGTCAAAAGGTCTCTTTGTTGGAGTATCGAGTCAAACAATGTGAGGTTCGTTAAATACCTGTCTAGGCCTCTTTATATAAATACCTGTCTTCTTGGCGCATCTTCATGTTGGTTCCAAAATGATGTTGCCTTGTCACGGCGAAGTGGTCGCGGCTCCGGTGCGGCTTTGGCCGACCTCCCCAAAGGCCACATGATGTGCAAGCAAAGTCTGCCAGAAAAACTGCAAGCCACAATATTCGGCAAACATCTCAGCGAACTTCGGACCTCAACAGCACCTACAGAGTAAGACAAAACCGTTCATTCTTAGCTAGGTGTACTTCTGTATCTATGTGCTAGGTGTGCTTCTGTCCATGCCTATTCATGCAATTTCATGCATAGATAATTCTGAACAGTGCTGTGGTCCACCGTGCCTCTGCGACATCGGAGGCAAGCACATGGGAGGCCTAACCTGTTTCATGCAACGGGCCAGTTGGTATATGACCCAGCTGCGCATTTCGATGTTCATCGCAGTTTGATTTGGAGGTTTTGCTGCTGGATTCCTGGACGCAGGTTTCTGCCTCAACCATGCTGCACTGAAGACTTCAAGCTCAGCTAGGAGCCAGGCCGGATTTGGTTGGACGTCGCCGGGCTTAAACGGCCCACGTCTCGCAGGAAAACAACCATTCACAGGCTCTGTAGATGCAAACCGTTCTATTCTATCAGTCTGGTGTTCAAAGAAGTTTGTGTTTAACGGTTAAGCCACACTTGGAATTAGAAGTCCCTCCTTGCAAAAGGCCGAGCTTCCAAAACGTCTTCCAAAACGTGTTTTGCAAACTGGCTGCACTTGACGAGAATTCGGGAACACATTGGGAAAGCACTAGGAGCAACGAAGCTGCTAGTAGCTCCTGACATTACTACTAGTAACAAGAAGCTACTAGTAACAAAGGGCATCGCTACTAGGAGCAAGGACGATACATATTATTTGTAGTCACAAACCTTCTGAGTCAGAGGAGCGAAGCCATCCCGTCGGACCGAACCTGCTGCCCAACCCCGCCATTGTCGGAGTCAAATTTACATCTAACTCGAGTCAAACCATGATGTATTGCGTGTGAAACCTGACATGTTTGCACATAAGCTGCGTCTGATGTGAGTTCCAAGGTGCCATGGCTTTCACGGAGGCCTTTATCAGCAATGGTGACATTGACAATGTAAGTGGCCCCAAGTGTCTATCCTGTCTGGTGAGACATTCTGAGCCCAAGGCAGCAGGCATACTGATACTGCATGACAAAGAAATTGAAAAACCCGATGCCTTCCACAATGTCAATGTTGCTTTGCAAAACTGGTTGCACCGGAGAGACAAGGTTATATAGGTGGTACTTACTATTGCTTGCGACAAGTGCCATCTGCCTGGCAAACGTAAAGATCCGCACGAAGGGATGCGAGAAACTTGACAAAGTTCATGTCTATCTCAGTCTGTGTCAATTCTATATGCTGTCATGCCTCAAGTAAAAATCGAAGGATCGAGGTAGGACACTCAACTTGAACTTGACGGTCTTTTCAACCCTTTCTGCACAATCGAAGGCCGCAAAGAAGCAGTCCGATGCAGTTGGGCCGTGTTGGCCCTACGCGAAGATTCCCATGTCTTATGGGATATCTTCCACATCGTGCACAGTCGATCCTGCGAAGTGGCAGGGACTTTCGGCGCTGTGGCTTGGCTGGGTGCGCTAGGTGTGTGAGAAGGTTGGGTGCTGAGAAACTAGAACATACAAGTAGGGTTCGGAAGCGGTTCGGGAACTTGTGGTCGATGCCCAAACGTCGCGGCAATCACATGAACTTCAATAGCCGCCCCTAACACCCAACTCCCGAGCAGCTTCTGAACTAGTTGTTCAAGCTCAAGACAAGGAAAAAAGCAATTTTACCCATTGCTGAAACCTACTCGCTCAACCCGACCAAAATAGCTTTAGAAATGGACGAAAACCAGTTGACGAATCAAAACGGTCTCTGCAACCGACAAAACCATACAAACCCAGTTGCTGAAATCAATCAAACATTGTTTCTGAAACTGACAAAACGCATTTGCTGGCTGAGTCGGACCAATAAATTTTCGGAAAACAACAAACCCACTCTCTGAACCCGACACAACCAGTTTCTGAACAGCTAGTTTTGGCTTCTGAACGCTGGTTTCTGCACTTGCGCCGGTTTCTGAACTTGACTTGTTCCTATATGAAGGGGATTGTTTTGGAAAGCCTCACAAAGCCTTATTTGGCTTTACAACCAAGCCTGCTAGTAGGGTCAAATGCGTTAGGTTTTCAGGGCACCAGTTCAATCCAAGTCTGCCCACTCTCAAGGACTACGAGTATGAATAGATAGCAGATTATTGTCCTGATCAAGCTCCTTTCTCACGCGCTTTGCGTCGGCCTGGCACCTGATGCCCGGACTCGTAAACTGTACTCTTCCAGTGAGGATTTGTTGTCTAGTGTTTCCTTGTCCTAAGAAACCCCGTTTTTCCAAATTCTGTTGAGTGTTGTGCCCAAACCGCGGCTTTGGTGTCCACTAGTTTATCTACAGTAGCGCAAGCCACGTTGTGTGTAATTACACACAGGCTGTGAGCCTGGGCCAGCCTACAGAGGTGATGCTATTGCCATCGTTTGTCCAAGCTTGGCCACCCCACTGCTGAAGCTGGCTGCAGCATGGCAGCCCTCCTCCTGACATTCTTGCAAATAGTTATTTCAATTTCTATATTTTTATATTACTATTTTAAAAAATGTAGAAACTCCCAGTATCTTCTCTCGCAAGTATGTGAGGATATCGAGATCCATCAATATTCCCTTGTCGTCAAACCACCTTGAAGCGCGCAAGTGATGTCTTTCTGAATTTATGCTGTGGTTTATCGTTTAATGCAATGAAAAGGACAGCGATGCTGCTTCTTGCATCTATGTGTATATATATATATTCGTTTTGGATGTGAAGTGCTACAGGGAGTCTTCCATATGTTAAGAATATCAAAGACGACAAACACTCAATCTCCTCCCAATGTTCGCAATGGTCCGTGTTCAATTCGGCATTCTGTTTAACTGCTACATTCAGGTTCTTGGTTTCTTGTGCTGATTCTATAGTATGAAAAGCTCGGTTGACACATGTGGAAGATTGTATGCAACGATCAGCATGCCGCATGCCAGCAACCAGTTGACGTTCTTTGTGTTGAACATGTGAAAGCCACGAGAAATACAGTCGAGCTGAACAGGTTAAAAATGTTAAAACAAATGGACAAATTGATTGGCAAGACTGGGAGAGCTCAATAAGCTCGTTATGAGTGAGGGGATGTGAAGGCACTTATCACCGCAGAAGGGTAAAATCAAGGTAGAAAAACTGAAACTGAATCGAACATTCACGAACAAACAAAATAAACTCCCTATGATCTATATATAACATATAATATATGTATAACATATAATATATGTACAACATATAATATATGACTATAACATATATATGTATATAACATATATATATGTATATATTAGCCGTCACCAGCACTCAACAAAAGCTCCGAGAAATGATCCCAAACCCTGAAGGACTGACTACCTTAGCAAACAAAATGGAACGCTCTCCAAAGAAGGGGTAAGAAACTCAAGGATTCGCAGCAGGTAAAGCAACTGGCCCAAAGGCCCAAAGAGACCAACTGTCTTTGCCTCAAATGGCCGAATTGTTTGAGTGACAGAGGATGAGAATCCTGTAAGCCTTATCTAAGGTTCAATTGCGATAGTGTACTGTGTGTACAGTCCATCTTCAGGAGAAGTGGATTAAGCAGCCCAAAGATCATGGCATATCTTCATCAAGAACCTTAGGAAACTCCTGTGACGTGGAATAGACGAGCACCAGAACTGAATCTGTATGCGCCACAATTATGATACTCAAAATGACTTCAATCAATGAAGAAGCTTGACCGCAGCGTTGATGGTCCATAGGGACAAGTGTTTGCGCAAAAAACAATATTGCAGAATATTGCAGAATAACGTACAAAGCAAATATATAACTGATCAGAGTGAGACCTGATGGCTCGGCACATCCCTAGCAAAGTGAGAGAGGCACTGACTGGACAAGATGAGTGTAAGCGACAGGAGCAGCACAAAGTCACAATTGACTATATAAGGTCAATGATTGCCGAAGTTGACCAAAGCCAGACGCCAGTAGTTCTCTATGAATGCAGAATGACTAAAAACGCAGTGTCCGAACCAGTACGCACAGGAAACATTCTAAACATTGCAAATGAAACGACGTCAACGTCAAGTGGCAAATGTGGGATGTATGGATACACTTTAAGGGTGAGGTTTCTCTGAAAAACAAAGTCAGCCTCCTCAGCTACGCTGCAAACAAACGCTGAACATGGCGGAGTCGAAATGCAGGTCATATTACAAGATTTGGCTTATGCTTCAACGCATTGGACATTGGAGAAGGTAGAAATTTGCATTGATGCGGACGTGTAATAGAGAGTAAAGTGAAAGCAGCTTTCCAAGACTCTGAAGCAGCTGGCCTGCCCTCCTCTCTGCTCAAATGCAAGGCTAAGCGCCTGCAGAGGATTGAGCATGTAATGTATAGTTGAAGAGCTCACAATTCTCCGCAGCTGCTTAGAAGTCGTAAGACATCAATGTTGTAAATGTACTTGTGAGTGTACGTCTTAGCAGCAGTATCAAGGGCAGCATCTCAAGATCTCGAAAGAAGTTGGTTCAAATCTCAAGATCTCAAGTGGTGGGTGAATGCATTTCACCCAACTGATGTGACAATCTCAAAGTTCAGTGGTAAACAAACAACTCAGTCGTTCCTCATCCTCTACGGTGTATTCTACGGGAACATCGCCACCCTCAAACGATGCGCCTGAGCTGCTCAGCGCGATTGTTACGGCAGCCCAGGTGCGTGCTGAGCAGAAGAGGCACCAGGAAAACGCAAGTTTCCCCAAAAATCTACAGTAGCACAAACATAGCAGCGAACTTCAGAGTTTCGCATGGTTCATCATGATTCCATAAAATCTTCGCAAGCCTGTACGCAGCTGTAGAAGCTGGGCCAACCCGGACCTCGATTCAGCTGTAGAAGATGATGTTTGATGGCAGTCTGATGGGATCTGATGGGGATAGTCGTGCAATTCTTCAGAACAACTGCGAAGTTTCCTGTGTCCTCTTACTGCATCTTTTATTCCAGGAAATCCACTTCTGCCAACATCACAGACTACTATATAATCTCAATACCCCAAAACAGCTCGATCCACGTCAATGTGTTCGTTAAAACCAAGCTGGGTCTAGCAAAGTCATTTCATCAAATGTTTAAATGTGAAGCAAACAAAAGCATGCTGTCTGACTCCCGCAGACAGCCAAGTTGTCTAGAGTCTAGGGTCTCTGCGCCATTTCTGTATAGGACGTCAAATCCTGTCAATGCATAGGAAGGTGAAATGGGCAGGGAGCCACACAAAACCTGGATTAGTTCAAACATGTGAACCGTTTCGCATAGTTTCGATGGATATACGAGTAAACTCTCTTGATGTGGTACAATAGCCTTGTGAAAGCCTGGGAGGTCGTTTCTTGCCAGTGCTCGCAAATAAGCATGTTGTCTGTCGGAATCCACCCCTATTGGCAACCATGGCCACACCCAAAACGTGAGCAACCGACTCCAGGTACAAACGACAGTATAGACGAAGCCACGAGCACCAGCAAAGCTGTTGTTGGGACCATTCCTGCAGTTTGGACCTACAATATCTAATTTTAGCTGGGTAAGTCTGCCAAAATGAACGCCTTCTTCGTGCCCACCAGCTTACCTCCAATCTGCTCTTCAGTACCATCAAGATACTTCTCAAAGTCCAAAACAGTGAGTACCTGCTCAACAGAATTAAGTAGAATTCTTTCTTGCTCACGAAGGTCAGCGCGAATGCTGTGGAGTGTATTTCTCCGACATTGCTCAGGCGCAGGAATAGTCAGCAGTTTACTTGTGCATCTTGTACTATTTGTGCTGGCAAAATAAACTCTGTTTTTTGGCACAGAACAAAAAGCAATTGAGATCAAACGACCAAATCAAATGACTGGAAACACTCACTATGTGTGCACAGTCT